TAGTTTATTTTTGTTGTTGTTTCCCTTGCGTCAGGAGACATATCTTGGTAGAAGTTGCTATGCCTCATGTCAGAGTTTACTGCCTGTGTTCTTCTCTAGGATTTTGATGGATTCCTCTTTTTGTTGAACTTCTGTTGTAGTTTTCCTAATGCTTGCTCCCTGGCTACCAGGAGCCGTCCGGGTCCATGGGACCAACTCAGTCTGGGGTGGGTTGGGCCAAGAAAGGTTAGTAGGAAGGCAAAGTAAAGGCCACATTCTTGTCTATACCTCCATGGAGAATCTTTAATTCCCTACACTGTTCCTTTCATTCTCCTCACTTAATTATGGACTTGAGCCTTCAGATGAGCATAGACCTTCACTTGATTTAGGATCCATGCCTTTATGGTTTTCAGGTCTTGAGAAGGACTGATTATCTCTGAACATCTTCTTCCAAGGCCATTTTCTGTATGATTGTTGTGTGTTTTTCTGCTCATATTATGAATGAGATGATCCCCCCAAATAGCTTTTTTGTGGCTTTAGAGGAGCAATAAAGAGCATGGGACCTGTCTAGGACTAGTGGGAGACCAGCAAACAGATTTCTAATATGTTGTGTGTGGTGCTTTACCTTAAGAACCCATTCATCACTTTCCATTGTAGTGCCTCCTAAGTCTTGGCCAAGAAGCAAGGATGATACCTATTCTTAACCTGGTTCATCAAAATATACCCATTCTCTGTACCATCTACCTGTTGCATAGTAGAATATACTGGATACTAACTTAAGCAGATGGATACATAGTTCAACTCCGTACCAGCTAACTAATGTACTTTGTCCAGGTCACATAAGGTTGTTAACTGATTGCAACACATATGTCTTAAAGAAGGGCCTTAAGAAATTAGTCCTTTAAGCAAATAATATTTATAGTTTTATGGGATTGTATTTAATTATAAAATCTACATGGGCATCATAAAAACTTTGGAAAATACAGAAAAGCACATGGAAGGAATTAAAATCATTTATAATTCTACAATTTGAAGAAACCAACTATTAACATTTTGATGTATATTGTTCACATCCTTGTTTTAGGATGTATGTGTAGTAGCGTTTCACATCTCCTTCTCCTTACCTAGTTTTTCTACCTAAGATGGTATTTATACTTTTCCTACCATCAGATAGCCTTCTAAACTGTGCTGATTTAGCAGATAATACCTCATTTTTGCACACTTAAAGTATTTCTGAATTTCTGTAAAAAGAGCAAGGTGATGGAAATTTTTTTTTTAAGGTGATGGAAATATTTACAGCAAGGGGCTTCACACACTCCTGCATAAATTTTTAGAATAAATGTGCACGGGGCAAAACAAATAGACATTTTAAAAGCTTGTGATACATATTGCTAAAAAAGATTCTATCACTCTGCTCTCCTACCAGCATTTTTTCAGAGTTCCCAGAATCCTCACCAATTTTCAAACATTATTATTATTATTATTATCATCATCATTATTATTATTTTAAATCCTGGCTACTTGGTGGGTGAAAAAAAATTGCAGTGCTTAAAATTTTATATTATATATTTTATATTAAATTTTTAATAGTGAAGTCCTTCATGACTCACTTTTATATATTTACCGAAGAAGTTTTGTGTAGTGGTTAAGTACGGCTGCTCTGGGGCCCAAGTGTTCCCTTCCGGGCAACCATGGGTAAGCTCTTTTATCTCCCTGTGTTCACGTACCAGCTCTGATAATGGCGATACTTACTTCATGGAGTCCGTATGACGATTAAAGAGGGTATCACATGACAAGTGCCTAGAAAGCACTTGGTATTACAGTAAGTATTACACACCTGATCCATATCAGTTACTCTTACGTTCTCTAGCATTTAGATTTCTTCATGTATGTGTTGCTTTTTCATTGTCTTTATTTGGGCAAGTGGTTTTGTTTTTGTTTTGTTCTAGCACGAGGTTTTAGTATATTAAGTACGTTAACCCACTACCTGCATATATTGTAATTTCCCCCAATTTATGGTTTGCCTTTAAGTTTTGTTCAAGGTGTGGACATTTTGGGTATCAGGAAATTCAGGCTAGGGGATGGCATAGTTTTGGTCCAGCCTGGGTCTTTTTTCTGCCCCTCGGCCCTGCCTGTAGGAAAGTTACATCCTTATCACTGGGAAGGTCCGGTATTGATTCTTGTCACCAGATAGCAGAAATGGCATTTGGAAGCAGGATATTAAAAATCATTATCTTGGAATAAAACTTCAGCTTAATTTATGTAAATAATGATGATAGCAGATGACAGGTCATGGATAATATTTCACCACTTCCCAATTATGACTAAATCCAACTCGTCAGCATTCTATAGTGAGATAAAATTAATTTCTTCAACTTGAAAGAAGCTTTGAATTTGAGATCAAGATCCCTCATAGATTGAGTGTCCATTAAGTGCTACTACATTTTCCTTCTTTTCTGCAAATGACACAGTAGGAGGATAATCTTTGTAGCCACAAAATCTTGTGCACAGGGGGAACATGTTCAGTTTTTTGGCATTTACACGTGCTACTAAAAATGAAAGTTTTTCACTTCCCTGGAAAAAATGTGGACATAGAGAACATTATTTTCCCTTGCTATGTAGCAATGAATTAGAACCACCCTTGCGAAAACACGGAAATTCTGCTAAGCTGCCAACTTGTTTCAAAAATTCATTCAAAGTACAAATATTGCCGACAACACCTGAATGTGTACATCGACACACAGTTCCGATATGAAAGTAACATCTGTGTTCATCTGTGTATATGCCTGTTCCACATCCAGTTTGTACTCCTCCCGGATTTGCTCAGTCTCCACTACCCCCTAGTTCTTGGCTGTCTGATCAGTGAAGAACCAAGAACCCAGCCGCTTCCTCTGTCGCCTCATCCCCTAACACTGCCATTCATTTCAGCCTCCCCCAAGGACCAGACTTTGGCAAGGCCTCTGTAACATCTGCTACATGACAGCCACCGCAGCTCCAGTGTAAGGGAGTGACCTGATGCTCCCACAGAGGCTTACATGCCCTCATGCCTGGTTTCACAGCAGCACCAGGTCATGGACATAGGACTTGGTTTCCCCAGTGGCAGCCCTGAGGAGTAGAGGGGTTTTAATGTCCATTGGCTGAATACTGACCAAGAAGAGACAGGAGACAGGCAGGAACCAACAAATTTATTTCATTTATGTCATTTATGACTCCCTTTTTCTCCTTCTCATGGACTATTCCAGGTGCCATGACTCAATGTAGTCTTTCTGGAGACTTCCAGTTGACTAAGCAACTAGCTATGTTGTTTTGTGAAGCTGTAGCCAGCTCGGTATTTGTCTCTGTTCTTTCCCACCTCACATCCCTGTTCCCCCTCACCCTGGTGGCCCTGAGATTGTATCACGAGTAATATGTTGGCACATAAAATTTTCTTCCGACTGCTTTCTTGGGAACCTGGGATAAGGCAGCATCTGAGAGCTTTCATATACATTTAAATGAATATTTTATACTTAAGTACAGTGTTTAGCATTCAGGTATGAGTAAAATACCAACATGTGCATAAAAACAACAACAAAAGTACAAATATTGCTACTGTGTAATGGTTAAACCAGAGTGTTATATTACTACTAGGCTACTAGGGTTATGTGTGATTGAAATTTTCCATATGAAAAAAATTTTCAAATAGTTTTGTTAATGATACTTTACACTACGGACCTTGGGAAAAACTGATCATCTTTTGTTTCTGACACTTCATCTGGTTATGCTACGTGATTGCCGCCTAGGTGGGTATCTTCTTTATGCCCATCTCTCCTACTTACTAAAATCACATTAAACATATCTCTTTCACTTTTAGTAACTTCTATCAGAATATATTTTCAGATGTCACCCCCTCAAACAGTCACTCAAACTGAAGTCTGTATCAGTGATAATGAACAGAGAAGCAAGGAAATTTCAACATCCAAATTTTATACTTCCTCATTAGATTTTTGCCTTTGTTTTGTTTTACTTCAAGCATGTTTTACTTTTATAAGATTTTTAAGAAAAAACATTTTTTAAAAGATTTTATTTATTTATTTGTATATGTGCTGCCGAAGCGAGCACTTAATTTATTTATTTGACAGAGAGAGATCACAAGTAGGCAGAGAGGCAGAGAGGGAGAAGAGAGCCGAGCAGAGCAGGGAGCAGAGAGCCGGATGCGGGGCTCCATCCCAGGACCCTGAGATCATGACCTGAGCCAGAGGCTTAACCCGCTGAGCCACCCAGGCGCCCCGGGAAAACATTGTAAACTAATGATTTATATGTTAACTGTTTTAAGAACTCTTAGGAATCTTGGGACCAGGCATGCTAAGCTGTTGCTGAAACAGACAAAAAATACACAGCCCTTAGAGCTGGTCCTACAGTCTTGGCAGTACATTGATTGTCCTTATTTGAAAATCTTTATCCGTGGGGCGCCTGTGTGGCTCAGTGGGTTAAAGCTGCTGCCTTCAGCTCAGGTCATGATCTTGGGGTCCTGGGATCGAGTCCCACATCGGGCTCTCTGCTCAGCAGGAAGCCTGCTTCCCTCTCTCTCTCTGCCTGCCTCTCTGTCTACTTGTGATCTCTGTCAAATAAATAAAATCTTTAAAAAAAAAAAAAAAAAGAAAATCTTTATCCTTGCAAGTATTTTCTTCTTCTTTTTCCTTTTTCTGTGCCTGTTTTGACTTGCGATTATTGGAAAGCATAAGGCAAGCAAAAGTGATTGGTTCCTCATGCAATCTGAAATTTTACATTGCTGACTGAGTTCCGAGCTGCAGATGTCTCATGGGCTAGGAAGCACGGCTGTGTTCACGGCTCTCGGTCACGTTAGTCCTTTCCTTGTGAGCAAAATGTCATAGAATATTTAGCTCCTGTAGTATCTGTGTTGCCTGCAGCCTGGCATAGAGAACTGGCAGCGCTGGGCTGAAGTTTCCTTGTTTTGAGCTTCAGTGCTCTCAATGCGAGTATTTGACTCGCTCAAGGAGTTTAACCCCAGTCTCTACTTGCAGGCAAAATGAAGGACCGGCTAGCTGAACTTGTGGAGTTAACCAAGAACTATGACCAGCAGTTCACAGACGGAGACGATGACTTTGACTCGCCCCACGAGGACATCGTGTTCGAGACGGACCACATCCTGGAGTCGTTGTACCGAGACATCCAGGACCTTCAGAACGAAAACCAGCTGCTGATGACCGACGTGAAGCGGCTGGGAAAGCAGAACGCCCGCTTCCTCACGTCCATGCGGCGCCTCAGCAGTATCAAGCGCGACACCAACTCCATCGCCAAGGACATCAAGGCCCGGGGCGAGAACATCCACCGCAAGCTGCGCGCCATGAAGGCGCTGAGCGAGGAAGCCGAGGCCGGGCGCGGCCCCAACTCGGCGGTGGCACGCATCTCGCGGGCGCAGTACAGCGCGCTCACGCGCACCTTCCAGAGCGCCATGCACGAGTACAACCAGGCCGAGATGAAGCAGCGCGCCAACTGCAAGATCCGCATCCAGCGCCAGCTCGAGATCATGGGCAAGGACGTCTCGGGCGACCAGATCGAGGACATGTTCGAGCAGGGCAAGTGGGACGTGTTCTCTGAGAACTTGCTTGCCGACGTGAAGGGCGCGCGGGCGGCCCTCAACGAGATCGAGAGCCGCCACCGCGAGCTGCTGCGGCTGGAGAGCCGCATCCGCGACGTGCACGAGCTCTTCTTGCAGATGGCCGTGCTGGTGGAGGAGCAGGCCGACACCCTGAACGTCATCGAGCTCAACGTGGAGAAGACCCTCGACTACACTGGCCAGGCCAAGGCGCAGGTACGCAAGGCGGTGCAGTACAAGAAGAAGAACCCCTGCCGGACCCTCTGCTGCTTCTGCTGCCCCTGCCTCAACTAGCGGATCGGCCCGGCCGCCTCACCCCACCCCTGCCAGCAATGGCCGGGAAACACCCCGGGGAAGATCTGGGGCTCCTCCACGCAGGGGTGAGTTGCCCCAAGCCTTATGGACTTCGGTCCTTGGAGAAAGAAGAATTTTGAGGGGCGAGAATTCCCAACCCATCTTGTGTTTGGGAAGGGGCTGATGCTGTCTGGTGTTTCTTCAGTAAGGACAGACACTCACTGAAGTTGTGTGAGGTCATCATCTGGCACGTGGCCCCCTTTCCCTCTCCACGGAAGCCGGATAAAGAACTGACGCTGTAGTTTACTGTACCGTGAATGTCCATGGCATGCTTCCTAATGAAACTCTCAGGGGAAGTCAGTTCTGCATCGGCTGATAGTATGAGCTCGTTATCAAGGCTCAAATTCCTTCACCTTATCCTGAAAGTCCCTTGGTTCTGTTCAATTTCACATGACCTGGATTTGGGGGAAAACTGTCCGTCTTTCATTTCTGATTCTTCATCTGGCTTATCCTGTGTGATTCCTGCCTCGATGCATACCTTCTTTCTGCCCACCTCCCCTACTTACCACATTTAACACATTATTTCCTTATCTCTCTCACTTTTAGTATTTCCCATCAGAATGTATTTTGGATTTTTTTCCAAATATTTTTAAGCACTGAGTTTTGAACACACACTCAAATTGAAGTATGTTACCCGTCATATTTTATATATTTTTCATAAATAATTTAAAATTTATCTTTTTACTTGATAATACAAATGCACATAAATATGTAAATGTAAAATACTAATATTAACACATGTACAGAAGGACCAATTGGTTTAACTTGACTTTTGTAAATATGGTCTATAAATACCAAGAGCAATACTTGTACTGATCATTGGTGTTGGTTTGCTTGTTTTGAGTTTATCTTGCTCCCATCTGCATAGTCACAATTCTATTTTGAACCACTCTGTGTTGGTTGTGGTGGTACAGACAGATGTCAAAGGCTAAAATGCATACAGAACTGGAGATGATAAAATAATGTCTTTGTAAATACTTCTTTTGTTTTATTGTGGACCATTTCTTTCATGTACTGAAAGGGAGTAACTTAAAATAATAATGTTTCTCAATTTAGCTTAATAAACATTACATTATAATATCCCCTTTGTGTATTTCTATCTTGATCACTTAAGTCTTAGTTTGCTTTTTCAGTTATTATTCTTAAAAATTCTACTAGCTGCGCAAGACTGCAGCGTCTAGATGGAACTCTGAAGAGAAGGGGAAAAGAGGAAAAACAATTCACTTGTGGGTGTCCCGCTTTCTTTCCCAAGTTACTTACAATAGTTTAGCAAATCATCATGTTTCAGAGATTTGGTTTTGTTTGCAAAATTGTAATGCCCTTACCCACATTTACCATGCTTTCTGTCTTTCTTCTGAGTCAACCCTTAACTGCTTTTACTCATTATTTACTAAATGAACAAGTTTACTCAGCAGTCAAAATTCTCGGGTCTTTCACACAGATTTTAAAAAGGAATAGAAAGAAGATCCTGTGAACTCTTTGGAACTTACTGACGAACCTACTTATGCCCATGAAAATCTAGCTCTGCCCCTAATTTTGATTTCATGGTTAAATATGAGAATTGTGGAGACCAAGTTCACTGGGCTCCTCTCAGATTTCTCCCAATTTCTTTCTCAGCTAACCCCATGGATATGTTTCACTTTTAACTGAATTTCCTTCCCCCCCCCCGCCCTCCCCAAAAACTTCCCATGGCTCCATTGCTGTCTTTCTTTGTAGAAAAGTGATATTGGATATTATTTATATAGACCACCAGCTAGTTTCCCTGAGAGAGAATTGTTCATGAATTTGACTTCTTTAAACATATACAGCATTTTCTTTGCCTAGAACCAATCATAAAAGTAAACGAGTTTGCAGGCTCTGTGTATTTTTTGATTCCCCACATTTCACATTGGAGAATTAAGTAAACACTTTCATTTACTAAGTGGTTAGTGAACTGTTGCCCATGACAAAGTAAGAATTTTTCTTCTTGCTTTTTAGTAACTGAGTGTTGCATAGTAGTTAAGAACGCTGATTCATGACCTCCCTCTCTCAGTTTAAATCCTAACTCTGCCTCATCCTAGCTATATGATTTGGGCACATTACTTACCCTGTTTGTGCCTCAGTTTCCTCTTCTGTAAAATGGACATAATAAAGCCTACTTCATCAAGGTGTTGTAAGAAGTAAAGGCTATCTATGTTCATTATTGTTATTATATAACTTTTTGTAGACTGAGAGAGCTAATACTAACAGTAAATTAATAGTTATTAACTTCTGAGAGAAAAAAATGTTTATTTTTCTGTTGATAGTCTTTAACAAAATGGAATAAAGAAACTAAGACCTATCTTCTTCGAATATTAGGGCTTTTTTTTTTCTACCACAAAAAAACCATTTTCACAATAGCATTTCTATTCCTTCTTATATCCAAACGTGTTCTGAAAAAGTATTAGATGTTCCGCTTAAAATTAACAGTTAAGCAGGAAGCAGCTGTTCTGTTCAATTTGGCGAGGATGTTCTCCTGATCTTTCCAAGCTGTGAATCAGAAAGTGTTCAGTTGTAGAGGCCAGGTCACAACAGACTAAAGGGAACAGCTGGCTTTTCCCACATCCTGCCTTGTTTCCCCCAAGCCCTTCCTGGCTCTGAGTGCCATTCCAGTTTGTGAAATGCTGGTGTTTTCCTCAGGAAAGGGTACTCCAGTGCCCCCAAGAGGTGCTGCAGAGGTTGGCTTTACCCAATCCCACAATGCCCTCTTGGCAAACTCTGAAAGTTGACTTAGGGCAAGAAGAAAACTTTGTGACAAAGCCACTCATTTCATACACTAATATCATTTAATGTACAAAATGAAGGAACCAATCACAAAGAACAATAGATCCTTAGGGGGCAGAAGGTGGAAATCTATTTCTAAAGCTATTTTCACATAAGCAGTGACTCCTTCTAACTAGCCAAATGCCAAACCTTACAGTCACCGCCACAAATTATAGGCAGTGACAACTCCAGAAAGATCAGAACTAAGAGAGATGCTCACCTATGATGCATCAGTACCCAGGATAATGTAAGTTTGAATTTTTTAAAAGCCGATCAATAATTCAAAAGAGTTTGAACTGTGACATCACAGGAGTAAGTTTATGGCCTTTCAAGATAATGACTTTGAAAGAAAACAGTGTTCTTCTTGTGCTTCATATTTATTTAAAAACAGCCTCAATGCTTTATAGTTGAATGTCATATGCACATACGTTTCAGGCTCTACAATGTAAGATTCTTGTCTTGACAGGAACCAGCGGAAGATTGTGTACAGCTTAAAAATAATAAAATAGGATAATTGTCATCTTGGATTTTATATATCAATCCCACCATTCTATTTCCACCATCAGACATTTCCACTCCTCTCTTTGAAATATAAACAGTATCTCTAATGCAGCATGAATTCACTCATTTGTAATCAGGATGATAGTTTGAAACATACAGTTGCTGTTAAAGTAACAGTTGACTTGCTTTTGATAGCAAGAATTGAGAATTCTTGCAACTAATAAAACGTGGCTATTAGAAAAGGAAATTGAAGAGGATCTAGAATGCAACCTCACCATCATATGAATATTGGGTATCTTTACTACCAGCATGTGTTACAAAGGAAGGATGAGATAGCCTTATACACTGGAAACTTCTACTGTAAAAATTATGTATATATTGGTAAGAAAGAAGGCTTGGGGCGCCTGGGTGGCTCAGTGGATTAAAGCCTCTGCCTTCGGCTCGGGTCATGATCCCGGGGTCTTGGGATCGAGCCCCGCATCGGGCTCTCTGCTCGGCGGGGAGCCTGCTTCCTCCTCTCTCTCTCTCTGCCTGCCTCTCTGCCTACTTGTGATCTCTGTCAAATAAAATAAATAAAATCTTAAAAAAAAAAAAAAAAGAAAGAAGGCTTTCTCACCTGATGATCTGGTTGAGAATATATAGGATGCTCTTAAACCAGTGATATCCTAAAAATTGAGGAGTGAGAAACAACTCCCCAACACTATCATTGTCTAATTCTTTTTTATTTTTTTAAGTAAGCTCCATGCTGGGTGTAGATGCAAGGCTCGAACTCATGACCACGAGATCAAGACTTGAGCCAAGATCAAGAGTCAGGCACTTAACCGACTGAGCTACCCAGGTGCCCCTCTAATTCTTGATATTTATTTTGAAAGGATTTTATGCCCCATTTTAATTATAAGCATCTTTAAGCCACTCTTGAACCTCCTCCATCTTTCCTGGTCTGTATCTCTACATTTGCAAGGTCTTAGACGCAACTCTTTAGGCATAGCTGCCCTCTGTATCCAGGTATCCCACAATAGTCTTAGCAGATACAAATAACAGCATGAAAATTACATTATATTATATACATATAATATAATATATAATAATATGAAATATTAGTCCAGGGGCTCTGAGAAGTTGACTCCAAGAGGGAATCCAACATGCAAAACTTTAATTCACAGAAATTTATTGCAGAGACACTGAGAGATAAATCACAGCTACCATAGTGTCCCTGCAGCGCTCAGTCATGGAGGGTGGAGAGGGGGGGCTTGGTGGAAATGGATGGATTTCAGCACCCATCCCTCAGGCCTGCTGGCCAGTGAGTGAGGTGTGTTCTGACCAACGCTGCCCTTCTCTTCACCAAGCAACCTGGGCTTCCTCTGCTGGACTGCTTTTTGATTTTTAAGGGCAGACGGTATCATCTTACTTGTTTTTTAATCTTCGTGTTTTGCTGGTTTCATAGTACTTGATGTTCATGGTCAGAATGCAGAATACAAATATGCAGAATTTGCTTTCTGTTATGAACGACTTTGTGTACATCTTTTAAAAATGTGTTGGAGGGGCGCCTGGGTGGCTCAGTGGGTTAAGCCTCTGCCTTCGACTCAGGTCATGATGCCAGAGTCCTGGGATCAAGTCCCACATCGGGATCTCTGCTCAACAGGGAGCCTGCTCTCTCTCTGCCTGTCTCTCTACCTACTTGTAATCTCTCTGTCAAATAAATAAATAAAAATCTTTAAAAACTGTGTTGGGGCACCTGAGTGGATCAGTCAGTCAAGCAGAGGACTCTTGGTTTTGGCTCAGGTCATGATTTCAGGGTCCTGGGGTGAGCCCTGAGTCAGGCTCTGCACTCAGTGGGGAGTCGGCCCAAGGATTTTCTCTTTCCCTCTCCTTCTACCCCTTTCCCTGCTCTCACTCGCACATTATCTCTGTCTAAAATAGATAAATGAATCTTTTTTAAAATTTTTAAGTAAAAAATGTGTTTATTTTATAGCATAAAGCCCAATATCTCATCTTCGTGCCCAGTGGAAAGACTGTGCGGGGTGCTGGGCCCATGGGGGAGGAGGGCAGCATCCTGAGAATAGGGTAGGACTTGGTGAGCTGCGGAAGGGAAGGTAGGATTGGAAAACAAACTGCTTGAGGGGAAACAACTCATCCAAGAGGATGGTCAATTTGAAAGGGCTATGCAGAGAGAGAATGAAGGTCTGACTCACTAGGGAAGCCCGCAGAACCAGGGGCAAACCATGGCCCAGAGGGAAGTTTCCAGGTAAAGAGTTATTAAAGGTACAGACTCGGATTGGATGCAAGGAAACTTGTAAAACTATGTTCTAATCTGGAAAGAATTATTTTCTTTTTATTCTTTCAGCCGTAGAAGATAAAGATTATTTTGTAAATCTGGGGTCACGATGTACTGGCTTGAGTTTCAGCTGTTCACACTCCTCTGTACTGTGGCGTCTGGGAGGGTAATTTGGGCAAAATCCCTGTTCTTGGCTCCTCGGTAGAAAAGGCTGTTTCAGGGTGATGGCTTTGGATGTCAGTCTCGAACTGTCCTTCATTATTGACATCTCTGTATAGATGAGGATGCCCTGTCAGACCTCAGCCCATTCTCCCAGGTATTTTAGGAGACCTATACATACAGACTCCTTAGAGAGCTATATAATGCTTATTCAGTACAAAAATGTTCAACTGCACATGTGCTCTGAGGGAAATAACGGCAAGTCCCCTCCTTTTCCTGCAGGAGTCAAAGACCAAGGAGAGACTGCTGTGACCCTAAACTGCCCTTTATTTTATCTGCAAGCTCAGCTGGGTTGCAAAGCCGC